TGAGTTGGAGTTCCTTATATATTTTGGAAATTAATTCCTTTTCTGATAGTTTGCAAATATTTTCTTGCCCTTTGTAGGCTGACTTTTCACTCTGTTTTCTTTGTTATAAAAACAAAAACAGAAAACTTTTCAGTTGGATGTAGTCTCACTTATCCATTTTTGCTGTTGGTGTCACAACCATTGCCAAGACCAGTATCATGAAGCTCTCCCCCTATATTTTCTTCTAGTAGTTTTACATTTAAGTCTAAATGATTATTATTAAATTATTATTTTGCTTATGGTTTAAGATAAAGTTCCGATTTCATTCTTTTGCATTTCAACACCAGTTGCTGAAGACTGCCCTTCCCCCATCGTGTGCTCTTGGCACTCAGCTAGTTTCTGGATTTCTCCCAAAGGGAATTCATTTCTGATTGTGGTTGAACCGCTGTGTCCTTGGGGAGGACGAGGCCCAGGGTTTCCTGACTATCTTGTTGGTCACCTCTCGGCGTGGTGTATTTTTCACATCCTTTTACTTCTCACCTATTTGTCTTTATACCTGAAGGGCACTCTTTCTGTACCGCAGGCCGACGCTGCAACCGCTGAGCCAAACCGGCCAGGGCTGAAGGGCACTCTTGTAGGCAGCATATCATCATACTCACTTTTCAGTTTCATTTGTATTTTAATTGGGGCAGAGAGCCTATTTATATTTAATGTTGACTACTGACATGACTACATTTAAATGCACCCTATTGCGATTTGATTTCTTCGGGCCCATTTGTCCTTTGTTTTCCTTTCCCTCTTTTTCGGCTTTCTTAGGAATTGAAATTTTTTTTTCTGATTCTATTTTATCTTCTTTGGGGTTATGGCTATGTTAATGATTGTTGTTTACCGTATACATTTACTGATCACAACCTATTCTCAGGTCTCGTACCACTTTACATACACTGAAGAACTGTACAATCACATTTTTTCACTTCTCCCCTCCTGGACATTGAGCTTGCTATCTCTCTCGCATTTTAAATATATGTAAATTCCAAACTATGTTATTTTTGCTTAAACAATTATCTTTTTTTTTAACCTCACCCGAGGACATTTTTCCACTTTTTTATTCAGATAGAGAGGAAGAGAGAGAGAGAGAAACAGCTACGTGAAAGGGACACATCGAGTGGCTGCCACCCCTACGACCCTACCAGGGCCAGGGACCAACTGCAACCAAAGTACATGCCCTTAGCGGGAACCAAACCCGGGCCTCTGTGGACCGCAGGCCGACGCTCTAACCGCTGAGCCAAACCGGCCAGGGCAACAATTATCTTTTAAAGCGACTAAAGTACTAAGAAAAGAAGGCGAGAAAGTCACATATTTACCCACGCAGTTATTATTTCTAGTGCTCTCACTTCCTGCTGTGGATCTTATTTCCACTTGGCAACCTTTTCCCCCTGCCCGAGGGACCTGCTTTCAGATTTCTTGTGGTGCCAGTCTGCTGGGACGATTTCTTTGCCTTTTTTACTTCTATAAATCTTTATTATCTTTGTTCCTAAAAACTATTTTTGTTGGAGTGGCTCTAGGATGACAGTTTTTCTTTATCATGGCTTTTCAGCAACTTGATTGTGATGTTTCCTATTTCTTGTTCTTAAGATCCATTGTTCTGCCCTGGCCGGTTTGGCTCAGCGGTTAGAGCATCGGCCTGCGGTTCAGAGAGACCAGGGTTCGGTTCCCGCTAAGGGCACGTACCTCGGTTGCAGTTTGTCCCTGGGACTGCCTGAAGTTGTCCCAGAGCCATTTTATTTTATGTCTTTACTGATTTTTTTAGAGAGGGAAAGAGAAATATCTACCTGAGCGAGAAACATCCATCAGCTGCCTCCTGCACGCCCCCTACTGGGGATGGAGCCCACAACCCGGGCATGTGCCCTGATGGGGAATTGAACCAGGACCTCTCAGTCCATGACACTCAATCCACTGAGCCACACCAGCCAGATATGTGTGCTCTGTTCATTTTTAAAATCTTGCTTCCGTGTTTCATTTTGAATCGTTCCTACTGCCGCTTCTAGGCTCACTAATCTTTCCTTTGGCAATGCCTGATCTGTTATTCCCATTGATAGTACATTTTTTCTGTCTCAGATATTGAGTTTTAACTTCTACAACTTTGATTTGGGTCTTACTTTTATGTTACGTTTTTACTAAGTTTTGGAATACATGGTTTTGATGCCCTCTGATAATTATAACTTCTGTTAGTTCTCAGATTATTTTCATTATGAGTAATGTTTCCTGTCTCTCTGCATGTCTAATAGTCTTTCAGTTGGATGTTAGAAACTGTGAAACTTACCTTTCTTGAGTGCTTCCTATTTTTATAATCCTATAAATATTCTTGAGCTTTGTTCTGGGGTATAATTCAGTTTCTTAGATCAGACTTTGATCATTTCAGGCCTTCCCTTTAAGATTTGTTAAGTGGGACTAGAGCAATGCTCACTTGAGGACTAATTACAGGTATACCTTGGAGACAGTGCGGGTTCAGTTCCAGACCACCATAAGAAAGCGAGTATTGCAATAAAGCACGTCACACAAACTTTTTGGTTTTCCAGTGCATATAAAAGTTATGTTTACACTATACTTTATTTTATTAAGTGAGCAATAGCATTGTGCCTTAAAAAAATGTACATACCTTAAATAAAAATACTTTATTGCTAAAAAAAAAATGCTAATCATCATCTGAGCTTTCAGCAAGCCATAATCTTTTTGGTGCCAGTAGACTTGTTTGACCCAGGACTGCCACAAACCATCAATGTATAAAATAACATCATCTGCAAAGTGCAACCAAGTGCAATACAACGGGTTGACCTGCATTCCCCAATACTGCAGCGAACCCCTTCTGCACACCCTGCTCGGGGCTTTACACATCATTAGGTTTTTCCCACTTGGCTGGTGGTGTGAGGCAGTATTTCTAGCCTTGTGTCAGCTTTGAGCACCGTTACTCCTAATTTGGGGAGGTGGTTCTTTCCCTGGCCTCAAGTACTTTCCCCATATGCAGAACTAATGAATACCTGAGGGACCCTTTGCAGACCCCCAGAGTTCTCTCTGTGCGGTTTTCTCCTTTCTAGTACTCTGTTCTGCAAAGTCGAGCCACTTTGGTCTCCTCATCTCAGCTCTGTCTTTTCAACGCAGGTGGCTGGGTGGGCTCTGCCTGGACTCCCCTTCCCGACACCGTCGTTTGAAAATTCTATCAAGGCTGTAAATAGGTAACGCTTGAAGGGCTCACCTTGATTTTCCCACCTCTCGGGGATTGTTGTCTTTCGTTGCCTCACGTCTAGCATCTTGAAAGTCATTATTTTGTCTATCTTGTCTAGGTTTCTGTGTGAGGGTGTGTGTGTGAAGGGTAGGGCAAGGATCAATAAATCCATCCGATCCCTGTTACTCCATCTTGAGTAAAAGCAGAAGTCTGGAACTATTTGATTTTACTGTACAAACTGCCTAATTTGTCATTTCCTCTGAACTTAATTAAAATAATGACATTTAAAAATTCAACTTCGTATTAAGGTCCAATAAAATCATTTATTATGTAAAGCTCTTCTGCTTGTAATAGTCTCTGTTGGTCCATCAATGGAGAAATATTATTTAAAAAGGTGGCTTATAATATACTGACTGTATAAATCAGAAATTTTAGATGGAGAATTACCACTCTCTAAATAGAGATAAGGTAGGGAGTGGAGGGAGGGCACAGATAATAAATACACCTTAAATAGAAGCATTAATGTTACTTCATATAATAAGAGTTGAATAATTGGGTTAATGACTTAATGTGTGATTTTTATTTCACATTATGCAAATACTAATCAAATACCCTGGTTGATGTCAAGCAGTGTAAGAAAATTCTCTAGAGTTAGTCAAATGCTCTCCCCCTCCGGGGAGCATGCCAGTGCCTTTCCCCTCCCCCTCTTCTTCACCCACAGGCCTGCATGTCATAAACTCTAAGGGTCCCCATGTGACTTGCAGCCAGGGGAGCAATGGGAGGCAGCAGCCCTTCCCGGGCTAACCCCCGTCCCCAAGGCCCCTTTCTCTGACTTCCCGGTGAGCCAAGCAGCCCTGCCTGGGCTCTCCTGTTGCTTCTTCTGTCCCAGCCCTTCCTGGTTTCACTGTCCCCTGCTGTAATAAACGCAGTCTCAAGACAAAGAGAGTTCGTTAAGAGCAGTGTTTCTCAGCGTTTTGAAGTATCTAAGAATTAACTGCAGAGTTTATGTCAAATTTTCAGGCCAAAACCCAGGTTTAATTTAGTAGGACTGGGATAGGGTCTAGGAATCTATAAATTATTGCCCAGCTCAGTGACTCTGATAAGAGATAAAGAGAGGACTATGAAATTAAACATTACTTCTTATTAAAATTGGATAAATAGATGATGGGTGAAACAAAGTGAACTTTAGGAGAATCAAAGTAGAGAGGCAAGAATAAGCCAAGGAGTTTTGTCTTAGTTTAAGAGGTTCAGATTAGAAAGCTGTCCAGGATCAAACTAAAGAACCTGAGGATTAGAACCGAAACCATCTAAGGTTTCAGAACAGGGGAATGATAATATAAGAGCGATTTTTGAAGGAATGTTGATAGACGGGACGAGTTGTAAAGCTGGAAAGCCAAGTAGAAGGTTTAGAAGGAAGTGCTACAAATGAACACGAGGGAGGAGGTCCTGACAATAGAAAATAAAATGTCAGAAGACATACATGTAAAAATGTTGAACTTGCTTTCAGACACTTAAAAATAGAAAGTTAACATTAAATACATGTAAAAGTATTCACTACAGCACTGGCCGGTTTGGCTCAGCGGTTAGAATGTCAGTCCTTGGACCAAAGAGTAACGGGTTCGATTTCGGTCGAGGGCACGTGCCTTGGTAATGGTTCGGTCCCCGGCCCTGGTTCGGGTGGTGCGGGAGGCAACCAGTTGATGCGTCTCTCTCACATTGATGTCTATCTGAAGCTAAATGGAAAAAAAAAAATATCCTCGGATGAGGATTAAAAAAAAAAGCATTCATTATAAACATAATGATAACAGCAACAACAACAACAAGAATAAAATCATCTTCAACTGGCTTCTCAGCTGTTTACTTGTATGATTCTAGAAACTCCACAGGAGCTCAACAGCAGTTTGTGTTGCCTGGAGGGATTATTAAAAGGAGGCGTTAGCATTCTATGAAAACCAAGTCATCAGTCAGTATAAGCTAAAAGCAGGCATCTACTATTATCTTCTGTAAGGCAGATTAAGCAATGCTTGCATTCTGTACTATAATTTACTTATATGTCTTCATTCACTGTTTCGACCAATTTTGATTTACTGTCAAAGATACAAAGATTTACAGTCAAAAAAGAGAGAACACCTACTTCTCTAAAAGGACAAATGAGACCCGTAGGTTAGAATGCTAAGGGGATGTCAGAGGAGTTCTGGTGGGGAGCGGGTGGGAGCAAAAACGTCAGACAAGGCTTCAGGAAAGATGGAGTTTCAACAGGCCTGAAGGACAGAGGGGATCTGGAGATATGGAAAATAGAAAGCATGGAAGGAGGAAAGAAAAGACAGTCTATACAAAAATCTCAGAAAGAATGTCTTTTCTATCAGAAGCTGTCAACAAGTTTTCAGTAACATGCTAAATGCTCTAAAAGCAAATCCAAGGGAAGGTGGCGCGTCTCCACATTCACTTCTTACCTTCTTTTAATGGGGTTTTGAGAGCAAAGTTTTCTTTACTTTCATGAATAAAAGCCTTTGAAGGATCAAAGCGTTTGACACCCAGAACGTTATTCAACTCGTCCTGAAGCTTCCTCTCACTCTGCTTTATTTTAGCAAGTTGAGAGCGAAGTTTTGACACCTCCTGCGTGAGAAAAATACAGACAATGAACAATTACTCAAGACCACGGTGGCGAAACATGTGATCCTTGTTACTGACAAACCCCAGCGTGGCTCAGATGTTGGGGCATCATGGGCACCCAATGGCTGCTGGTTCTGTGCTCAGGCTCTAACCCGGTAGGGGGTGTGCAGAAGGCAGCTGGCCGATGTTCTGCTCTCACATCCATGTTTCTCTCTCTCCTTTCTCCTTTTCTCCCTTTCTAAAAATCAATTAAAAAAATTAAAAAGACCATGAACTTACAAAATGACCTGAAACGATTGTGACAAAGGCGATAACAAGTCATTTAAATCTTCTTGACCCTACAGGTACAAGGGCATGTTTCCGATCAAAGTTCATCTCTGACTTAAATGCCAAGATCAACCCCCAGCATGAGGCACGAGGGCACCAGTACCTGCTCCCTAGCAAAGCTGAACACGGAGAAAGGCAACCATTTTCAGCCTCGGAAAGTGGCCCTAAGATAAAACAGCCAGTGAAGAAACATCTATTCAAGTAAATCCACAAAAATGTGGTAAGGCGAGGGTCTGTAGTATTTGACAAGCCTGTTCCCTCTCTCCCCACTCCCAGCTTGGGCAGGTGAAAACTCCACACCAGCCCGCTGCAGCCTGGAACCCAGGGCTCCCTCCCCCCGGCCCGTCAGAGGCTTTGCACAGGAAAAGCAGGACATCAACATTTCTCATCTTGCCCTCAGCTACCTGTTGCACCAAAGAAATGCAAGTGAAAATCACAACTATGCATCACTTCACATCCACTGGAATGGCTAGAATAAAAAAGTGAGATAATGCCCTGGCCAGATAGCTCAGTTGTTTAGATAGTTCATGGAGGAAAACCATCTCGATACGCCAAGGCTGGGGGTTCAATGTCTAGTTGGGGCACATACAATAATCAACCAATGACTACATAAATAAACAAAATAACAAAATCAGTGTTTCTCTCCCTTCCTCTCTCTCTGTCCATTAATTTTTAAAAGAAGTGAGATAATAGTAAGTATTTGTGAGGATGTAAAGAAATTAGAACCTCATACAATGCTGTTGGAATGTAGAATGATATAGCTGCTTCAGAAAACAATCCAACAGTTCCTCAAATGATTTACAGTTACCGTATGACTCAGCACTTTTATTCCTAGATATAACCCAGGAGCAAAAACATGTCCACACAAAAACTTATACATGAAGTTTATAGCAGTTATTCATAACAGCCCAAAGATGAAAACAACCCAACTGTTTATCAAGTATCAAGTGAACAAATAAAATGTGACACAGCCACAAAATAAAATATTAAGAATGAATCACCAATGCATGTTACAAAAGAGCACATATTATTTGATTGCAAAAATAAGATATGTCCAGACTAGGGAAATGTACAGAGGCAGAGAGTAGATGAGTGGTGGGAGGGGTGGATGAGAAGATAGGGAGATAATAGCTAGAGGGTTAGGGGTTCCATTTTGAGGTGATAAAAATGCTCTAAAATTGACTGTGGTGATGGGTGCACCTATCTGTAAACATGCTAAAAACCACTGAGTTGTACAATTTAAATGGTGTGTGAATTATATTTCAATAAAGCTGTTAAAAAACTCAAGTGCCTAGTTTTGAACAGTGCTTGTCTTTATAGTATTTATTTACATCAAGGATTTTGCTACTTTATAAACAGAAATGGAAGTGTAAAGCTTTCTGAATTTTTCCAACCATTCCAGTAAATGTCAACATACTAATGCAGTAGTTAGAACATTAATACCCATCTGGTCAACACTCTAAAATAAATCCTTAATTCTCAGATGGATTTTCCTCTATGAACTATCACTTGTTTCTGATACCAAAGTCCCTCATTTTACTTAAATGTTATATATATATACCCACCCCAATATTTCAGTAGGACTAAGTGTTATTTTACAAACCGATTTGAGTTGGCTATTTTCATCTTTCAATTTCACAACGTGCTTGATTTTTTGCTTTAAATTCTGATGACCCAGTAACCTGGCATATGAATCTCTCAGTTTATTTAGCTGTTCCTGAGCCGCACCGTGTTCATTCAACAAAGCCTGTTTCTCTGCTTCAAATGCATCCAGTTGTAGCTGAAAAATAGTTTTTTATATAAAGTGAAAACTTAAAGCTGTTAAATCTTACTTGTCTATATCAACTATATACAAAACAAAGATAAAAGACAATTTAAAATGAACAAAAACAGATTTTGTTAACATATTCTCAGGGCTCTCCATAAATTCTCTATGAAATTAAAAAAATATATATTGTGTTTTTCATTTCAAAGATCATAAAAACAGGAAAAGAAACTAGAAGTCTAGTCAGCCAGACTCACTGGGTATCAATTGTATCACATTACAACTAGTACCCCTGATCTATTTAAGTGCCAAGATTAGCATTTATCTTTTTCTTTTTTAAGATCAGTGTGTGAAAGATACATTGAGAAAGATCACAACAAAATAATTACCATAAATTTACACAGATTTATGATCAAAGAGCCTTGTAAGCTATTAACTCTAAGTCTCTTACTAAGAAGTATTTTTTGGCCTATGAAGGCTTTTTTTAAAAAAAGTATTCATAACAATGTAACAAAATTTATAAACCTTCTTTATAGGAAGTTAAATTGACACTGAATGCAACATGATCTTCCAGGAAAACCAGGTCACAGTCATGATTGACAGGGAACAAAGTGAATCCCTCCAACAAATGCAAGCGTAGTGCTAATGGACCAACCTGGAAAGGCTTTGTTTTATTATACAGTTCTTCATAAAGGAGACGCCACTTATTCATTTCCTCCGTTAATTCTTCCACTGTATTTTCTTTCCCAGCTTTTCTGTAAGAGAAAATTAAATCAAAGACATAGTGCCTTCAAAACAATGACTGCGGTGCGTGGCACTTGGGTTCTCAACCCGGATTACCTTGCTTCCTCCTCTTCCAGCTGCTTCTTAAAGTCTTCACTTTGCTGCTTGAGCCGGTTCTCCAAGTCAGTTATTTTTTGGCGAGAAGAAACTGTGAGTTCTTTAATCTCTGTTTCTTTACGTGCTGATGTGGTCTGCAGATCTAGAAGCATCCTTAGGTTTGAGAGAGAAGAATCCACCAAACAATTTACAGCCATTTTAATTGCTTATTTTCCTTTATTTATTTATCTATCTAATTTAAGGACTTCTTTTTAACTGAGTAAATTCTTAGTATGCCACGTGAAATCTCCCAAAGCCATGAAGTGAACTACAATTCCCTGCATCTGGCAGCTGGCTTTCAACAATGTTAAGTTGTCCCAATGGTTCGAGGGCCTCAGGTGCGGGTGTTAGTTCTCCTGCGTACCTTGCGTATTCTTGATTTGCGCTCTCAGTAGCCAGTAGCTGGTGCTGAACGTCGTCTGCACTTTTCTTGGCCTTGGCCACTTCTTCCTTGAGTGATGCGTTTGCCAGCTTAAGGTCTTCTATCTCACTAGCTGTTGATGCTTTATAGCTTATTAACAAGAAAAATAAGTTAGAGGAGTTTCCTAACTACTGTATACGTGACAGATACATAGCCGATGAATTTATAGTTTATAACATTTTTGTTAAAACTAAACCTTAGTATCTATTTATGCATTTATACAAGTAAGAATTCAGTGTTCTGAGGTCAGTGCTGATGAGCTTATATCACCATTCACTGAAAGAAAAAAATGAAGGACCTACGACGTGCAGAAGTATGCATACAGAGATTAAAAAAAAAACAAAAAACCAACAACTGACCATGAAAATTACTCTAAAATAAAAATTTCTAAAATCCCTGCACTTACTCTGAGTTTATGGTCTTGTGGGAAAGATAGGAAAATGTCCCTGCAGGTTTTCACAAAAAAAGTTTTTAAATAAGTATATAAATTTGTGGCGTGTGCTCTGAAGAAAAACTGCAGAGCTCCTTAAGCTGACAAAGCTGGGGACCCTGCACTTCGGCTGCTGATTCAGAAGAGGCCTTCCCGAGGAGCGAGCTGAGGGAGACACGGCGGACAAGCCGAGACATGACGGACAAGGCAGTTAGGGCCCAGGGTTTCAGAGGGGGAGATGCGCAGAGGCAGGTGGCTGCTGATTCAGAAGAGGCCTTCCCGAGGAACGCGCTGAGGGAGACACGGCGGACAAGGCAGTTAGGGCCCAGGGTTTCAGAGGGGGAAGATGCGCAGAGGCAGGTGGCTGCTGATTCAGAAGAGGCCTTCCCGAGGAGCGAGCTGAGGGAGACACGGCGGACAAGGCAGTTGGGCCCAGGGTTTCAGAGGGGGAGATGCGCAGAGGCAGGTGGCTGCTGATTCAGAAGAGGCCTTCCCGAGGAACGAGCTGAGCGGAGACATGACGGACAAGGCAGTTAGGCCCAGGGTTTCAGAGGGGGAAGATGTGCAGAGGCAGGTGGAACACGGTGCGGGAAAGGGGAGCCTGGAGCGCTCCCTTGAGCAGTGTGTGTACTGAAACTGGAATGACAGAGATTAGCATGGCCCCTGAGCAGGATCATAGGCAAATTCCTGAAGTGTTCCACATTTTAAAACAAAACAAACAAACAAAAAAAGACGAGATTGGAACCTAATAAATAAGAGGCAAGAGCAGAAGCTTGAGAGGACTGATCATCACCGCAGGGCACAGGGGTCACCGGTCTCTGAGTGGGTGCGTGGATCACTCCGGAGACACGTGGAGAACGGACTGGGGAAGGTGCCGCAGGGCCACAGTGGAAGACTAACTAAAAGACAATGATTAGCCCTGGTGAGTGAAAAGAAGGCTTGGAGCTCGCAGGAGAAACATGTGAGATCTCTTTTGGAGGCAGAATTTTAAAATTCCAGAAATAGATTAGGTGTTAGGAGAAGGGAGAAAAAATGGTCAAAGATGACACCAAGATTTATTGAATGAGAAGCTAGTCAGCGACCGAGATAAAAGAGAATGAGAGCCCTGGCCGGTTTGGCTCAGTGGTTAGAGCAGCGGCCTGCGGTCCAGAGACCTGGGTTCGGTTCCCGCTGAGGGCACGTACCTCGGTTGCAGTTTGTCCCCGGCCCTGGTTGGGTCATGTGGGTGGCAGCCACTAGATGTGTCCCTTTCACGTTGATGTTTCTCCCTCTCTCTCTTCCTCTCTCTCCCTCCCGCTCTGTCTGAACAAAAAATGGAAAAAAGATCTCGGGTGAGGATTAAAAGAAGAAAAAAAAGAGGGAATGAGAGACTAGGGGTAGAAAGAAGATTAAAAGTTATTTTAGACAGGTTACTGTTAGATGACAGTGAGATTTCCACTTGGAGATGTCAAGTAGGCAGCTGGATATATGGGTACAGAGATGAATGGAGATGTGCAGTTTGAAGAAATAAATTTTAATAATATTAGCATACTGATGGTGAATAAACTCACAGAATGGCTAAATACCTCCTAAGGCACCATTTTCAAAGTAGGAAGAAGGGAAACCCTTTTACAGAATTGAGAAGAGCACTAAAAATCGTATATCTGCTGTAATAGAAAAATTAGATACATACATATACATGATATGTCTCTGCATGCATATATGCGTATGTGTGTGTGGTGTGTGTATAATATTATAATATGTCACATGAAGGAGCAGACCACTGGAAAAGAAGGTACTAGTCAATGACTGGACACCAGGTGATTCATTATCCCTAGATCGCTACACAATACAGAAATCAGTTCTAAGTGAAAAGTGAAACAAACTTTTAGAAGAAAACGGGACTATCTTTATGTTCTTGGGATAGAAAGAAGTTCTTAAATGAGATGCAAAAGTGTTCACAAAAAATCTACAAATTTAACCACATTAAAATCAAAGAGAAATTACTATGTATACTAAGGCTACCAGGCAATACCAAATGCCCACTGCATGGTCGGTCACTATGGAATTTTAAGTGACACCGATACTCTTATTTGTGTGACTGATTTCGTTGTTCATAGTTTTCCCTCAACACCCCTCCCTGCTCTCATGCTTGAGAGTGCTGGCTCCCAATAAAAATACCTTTCAAACTGAGCAGTCACATCTCCAAGGTTTTGCTCAGCACGATCACACCTTTCCTGCAAAAGCAGGGTGGCCTGAGTGTGAGCAGCATTACTTTTCTCGAGTTCAGCTTCTTTCCTAAGAAAACAGAGGGAACAACTAGAAGACAAACTGCAGACTACAAATCACTGCCCTAGGAAAGAGATTAGTGTTTAGCTCTGACACTGTGGTGTCCAAGGTGAAACCCACCTCTCCCTGTTTACATTAGCTACTGAATAGCTTAGACCTAAATGTATGGACTACATCTAACAGCATGTTTAGTGTGTAGGGCTTCATCTTATCTTTCCTGTTTATTTTACTTTTGTTTTCAACATTTTCTTGGAAGAAAATAGGATAAAAAGGCTCACAGCAATAGCTAAAGCTAAGATGTGAAGAATTCCTAGTTAACAGCAATAGCTAAAGCTAAGATGTGAAGAATTCCTAGTTAAAAAGTATTTGGACTGAATAAAATTTAATTCTCTGCATGTAGACATTTAAGAAATATTAAGTACAGCCCGGCCGGTGTGGCTCAGTGATCGAGCGTCAACCCATGATGCACCAAGAGGTCACCGGTTTGATTCCAGGTCAGGGCACATGCCCAAGCTGTCGGCCTGATCCTCAGTGGGAATATGTAGGAGGCAGCCAATCAATGTTCTTGCTCATTGATGTTTCTATCTCTCCCTCTCAAATCAATAAGGGGAAAAAAAAAAAAGAAATACTAAGTACAGTTAAAGACATTTTATTTTAAAACTTCTTTTGAAAAGAGTTATAGGATTATGTAGATTTACTTTGATTATATCAATAATGCACATAATAAATTGTTATTCAAAGATTCAACAACTTATTTAGTGGGTCATTTTGCATAGACAGAATGGCTCTTTAGTCATCTTTATAAATACGTACTACAAATCTCAGATTTAAATAAATAATATACATTACAAAATGGTGATATAAATTTTTGGATGTGCATATGAGCTTATGAGATTTTTAAAAAAGAACATCTGGAATTAAAAACTGTAAATAAGAAGCCTTATTCACTCACAGCCTGACACTGAGACAAGATAACAGCTGGTTGGATTCATTCTGTAATGAGTAGGGAATTTAAAAAATATACACACAGCAGCTAAAAGCAATCAAATAGTACTAAAGGGTTTATTTTAAATAAAAATATTCTCTTTCCTGCCGCCTAGAAGAATCACTTTCAACTCTCTCAGTTTATCTCTTTTAGCATAAAATTCCCAGGCTGGTAGGTACCATAGAAATCATCTCATAAAACACCTTTATATCTAATGAAATAGAAAATTACAGAGATTAAGATTGTCCTGCTCAGAATCACTTAGCTAGTTAACAGATCTAGTAGTTAAATACTTACTAAATACTCCTGACCACTGGACCCCATTCGTGGAGTCAGAATAAATGACTGTTTCAACTTTCTTTCTGAAACTGACATCAGCTACTCAGGTTCTTAAAGCACCTGTTCCCTGAGACTGGCTGCAGGATAAACAATCCCTGAATATATTTTGGTATGGCTCCTGCAGAAGTATGAAACCTTGGTGTACCTTTCCTTTTTAAAACATCACTAATCATTAAAAAACGCAGAAAAGGAATTAACATAAGTGTCCAACAAGAGATACTCATAGTTCTGAGATATATTTTCACGTAGGCTTATGTCTAGTCTATGTTAAAAATTTTTTTAGTGATGAAACCCCAAGAATTCAAATAATATAATTATTTCATTTGCAATTTGAACTCAATAATCAACCTGCACATTTTAATTTAAGTAAATGCAGTGGAGGACATATAACATAACGAAAACAATATGGAACTAGAGTAAAAAAAATAAGCATAAGTCCAGCCGGTGTGAATCAGTGGTTGAGCGTCGACCTATGCACCAAGAGGTCGCAGGTTCGGTTCCCGGCCAGGACACATGCCGGGGTTGTGGGCCAGATCCCCAATGGGGGGCACGCAGGAGGCAGCCAATCGACGTTCTCTCTCATTGATGTTTCCATCTCTCTCTTCCTATACCTTCCTTTCTCTCTAAAAATCAGTAAAAGGCCCTGGCCAGTTTGGCTCAGCGGTTAGAATGTCGGCTTGCGGAGCAGAGAGACCCGGGTTCGGTTCCTGCTAAGGGCATGTACCTCGGTTGCAGTTTGTCCCTGGCCCTGGTTGGGTTGTGCGGGTGGCAACCACTCGATGTGTCCCTTTCACGTCGATGTTTCTCTCTCTCTCTCTCCCTCCCACTCTATCCGAACAAAATATGGAAAATAGTACTCGGGTGAGGATAAAAAAATAAATAAAAATCAGTAAAAGGAAAAAAATAAAAAAATAAAACAATCATAAGATCTCAGTTGTTCTATTTCTAATGATACATTCTTATTTTTTAATGTTTCCCAGGTCTGGTTCCCTTTTGACTTTTGAGTGTTATTCTAATGTACATATATACAAAAGTGGAAAAGTGTCTGATAAAAGGATGGGAATCCACCCTGGCCGGTTTGGCTCAATGGTTAGAGTGTCAGCCTGTGGTCCAGAAAGACCCAGGTTCAGTTCCCGCTAAGGGCGCGTACCTCGGTTGCGTCCCCAGCCCTGGTTGGGTTGTGCGGGTGGCAACCACTCGATGTGTCCCTTTCACGTTGATGTTTCTCTCTCTCCCTCTCTGTCTCTCCCATTCTATCTGAACAAAACATGGAAAAATGTCCTGGGGTAAGGATAAAAATAAATAAATAAACTGAATAAAATAAACTATAAAAAAAATAAAAGGGTGGGCATCTTAGTTTTTTGGGTATTTTTCTAAATCCATTATTATCATAATGCTAATGTCTAATTATTATTAGAAAACATGAAAGTAGTTATAGGAACCCAAAATTTTGGTCATTTTTAAATTAAAACTCTTAAACCACTGGCTTCAAATAAAAAAGGGTGTGGCTTCTGACTTAGGCTATCATACTTGCTTGTATGTACATCCTATGCATGCACTTTCTCTGTGTCTTCCTTACCTATAAAATAATTCTAACCTCCCCGACTTATATGATTGATATGAGAGTCCTGAGAATCTACTAGAAAAATACTTTGTAAAATCTGAAGTCATATGTATGAGGTCCTATCAATACAAACCCCTTCAGCTTTTCTTCTACAAGTTTCAGTTCTTCAGTTCTAGCTTCTGTTTCTTCTTCCAGTTGTTTGACCAGCTTTTCAGCTTGTTCCTCTTTTTGCTGTAATTTATCTAGCTCATCTAGAGCTTGCTTTAATTCTTCCTCCAAGAGATTCCTCTCTTTCATCATTTCCTCTTGAAGAGAACATAGCTTCTGCTGAAGACTGGAAGATAATTCCTACATCCAACATAAAACACCCAAAATAATATGAAAGGTTTAAACATTTTCATTTAATAATTTGTGAGGTCTTATTAAGGACAGAAAAATGTACAGATAATGAAGAATTCCAAATTCAAGATCTTCAAGGGAATTAGAAAAGATATGAAGACAACATATTTACTTTGACAGGATTATACCCTATAACTTGTCAACATTGTTATAAATATTATTTTACTCTTTTTCCTATGTAACACACATATTCAAACCTACTTCTTTTTTCATTTTATCCTCACCGGAGGACATTTTTGCATTTACCTTCAGAGAGGGAGGGAGAGAGAGAGAAACATCGATGTGAGAGAGACACACTGACTGGCTGCTACCCACGGGGACAAACCGCAACTGAGGTATGTGCCCTTAGCGGGAACTGAACCCGAGACTCTCTGGTCTGCAGGCTGACGTTCTAACCGCTGAGCCAGCCCTGGCCGATTTGGCTCAGCAGTTAGAGCATTGGCCTGCGGTCCGGAGAGACCGGGTTAGGTTCCCGCTGGGGGCATGTACCTTGGTTGCAGTTTGTCCCCGGCCCTGGATGGGTCGTGCGGGTGGCAGCCACTCGATGTGTCCCTTTCATGTTGATGTTTCTCTCTCTCTCTCTCCCTCCCACTCTGTCTGAACAAGGAATGGAGAAGTGTCCTCGGTGAGGATTAAAAAAAAAAAAAAAAAAGTGATTAAACGCTGAGCCAAACCGGTCAGGGCCAAACCTACTTCTTATAAAACTAAAATCACATTCTGTAACTGGCTTTTATCATGTATTTTTGTCATATTATATAAAAATGACTATGACTTTAATATTACATGAGAATATTTTTAAGTTATAGAGTGCCTACCAATAAAAAAGATAAATACAAATCACCACTGCAAAAAATGTTGACATTATAAATAAAGTGAAAATTGCCTTGGACTACTCCCCACCGTCTTACTCTGCCCATTCCAGAGATGACCACTGCTCTGGTATGGATGGTCTTTTCCTATTATTTAAATACTTTTTAAAATATAAAAGATATACACTGTGCATGTAAAGATCTTTTAAAAAACATTAAAATGGTTGCTGAGATATTTTCAAGTCAGTGTATACAGATCTACTTAATTCCTGCAGGTTCCCCAACAATACATATTTATAGCCCTGGCCGGTTTGGCTCAGCGGTTAGAGCGTCGGCCTGCGGTCCTGAGAGGCCCGGGTTCGGTTCCCGCTAAGGGCATGTACCTCGGTTGCAGTTTGTCCCCGGCCCTGGTCGGTCGTGCGGGTGGCAGCCACTCGATGTGTCCCTTTCACATCAATGTTTCACTCTCTCTTCTCTCTCTCTCCCTCCCACTCTATCTGAACAAAAAATGGAAAAATGTCCTCGGGTGAGGATTAAAAAAAAAACAAACAAAAACATATTTATATAATATTGCCTAACTCTCACCGAGTTTTTAATCAAATGTTTAAATGTGCGCCAACTGTATAAATGGGGGGAGGATTTCCATTTCTTTCATTACTACTAAGGTAGAATATCTATTAACTGTAATAGGCTATCTGAATTTCTATTTCTAAGAATTAATCTATTTCCATTCTATGCCCACTTTTTCTTAATAGACTCTTTTTAATCACTGACATGTAAAATATCTTTTATGTAATCTGGATTTTAAAAAATTGTCAGTTTTGCCCTGGCCAGTTTGGCTCAGCAGCTAAAGCATCTGCCCATGATCCAAAGGGTCTCAGGTTCAATTCCTGATCAAGGGCATGTGCCTGGGTTACAGGTTTGATTACTGGCCCTGGTTGGAGTCATGCGGGAGGCAACCAATCGATGTGTTTCTCTCACATTGGTGTCTCTCTCTCTCTCTCTCTCCCTCTCCCCTACCCCCTTCTATTGTATCTAAGAAGCAATGGAGAAATATCCCCGGTTGAGGAAAAAAAATGGTCAGTTTTGTTTCTCCTGTAATTAGACACTTTTTTAATAACATTAGTATAAATGCCTATGTAGTAATCTAACACAAGAATGTGCTGAAAAAGTTTTTAAACAATTTCCTTATTTTGCTTCATCTATTGCTTGCAATTTTTTCATATTATCAATATCTCTGTGGTGAACATCTTTGCAGCTAAATCTGATGCATAACTACCATTATTTCCTCAGGATAAAATTCTAAAAATAGAATTGGTGGATCAAAGGATATATACAATTTAAAGGTTCTCTGGCCATAGGGAAATGTATGACATAAAATAAGCACTAGTTTAATTTACATTGTAGTAAACTACCTTCTCTTGTTGCAGAAGTGAATTCATTTGCAACTCCTTCTGTTGTAGCTTTTCATGTTCTTGTTTTGCAAGAAGTAACTCCTCTTTTAAGTTTTGTATTTCAGAATTTAGATGTTCATCCCGTCCTCTGTCCCTGTTGATGCAGTCTTCTAGAAAAGGGAAATGTAAACACATATGAATATTAACTTTCAATAACCCAGATTCCAGTTATATTTCATTATACACATATACTTCATAACATACATACCATGTTAACAGAGATCAAATACTTCAGAGGAAAAAGACTCTCTTAGTTTATACCATTATTCTATGTTATATAATAAACCCCCAAACCTATTTCTATGTACCTACCAATTTTAAGTGGCCACCAAATAGAGAACTCAAATACTATACAAGTGTATATATTTACATCAAGACAAGCAATATACTAAAAGAAACAGAACAAACATTATAAAAAACTAAAATTCTCATATGTAGGACAGGATTTTTTGTTGTTTATATAATAATTCTAAAAAGTTGTTTTTATTTTATTTATTTTTTTTGGCAATCTGTATTTATTTATTTTTTTCTTTTTCTTTTTTATTTAATTAATATATTCTTGTTACAAATGTTTCTCCTTTTCCCCCCCACTCATTCCCCCCTCCCCCTCGCTCCTGTCCCCACCTTTGCTGTCCATGTCCATTGTTCATACATATATGCATATAAGTTCTGTGGTTTATCTCTCCCACACCACCCCCTCTTCTGGGGATTGTCAGTCTGTACCCCACTTCCACTTCTCTGGGACTACCCCATTCCGCAGACTGTTATGTTCATTATATTCCACAAATAAGTGAGATCATGTGGTATTTGTCTTTCTCTGCTTGGCTTGTTTCGCTTAGGATAATACTTTCCAGGTCCCTCCATGTCGTCTCAAAGGATAAGAGATCTTTCTTTCTTACAGCCGCATAGTACTCCATTGTGTACATGTACCACAGCTCTTTTATCCATTCGTCTACTGATGGACATTTGGGCTGTTTCCAGATCTTAGCTATTGTAAATAGTGCTGCTACGAACATGGGGGTACATATATTCTTCCTGATTGGTGTTTCAGGCTTCATAGGGTATATTCCTAGAAGTGGGATCACTGGGTCAAATGGCAGTTCAATTTTTAATTTTTTGAGGAAACACCATATTGTTTTCCATAGTGGCTGCACCAGTCTGCATTCCCACAAGCAGTGTACTAGAGTCCCCTTTTCTCCACACCCTCGCCAGCACTTGTTGTTTCATCATTTGTTGATGGTGGCCATTCTGACAGGTGTGAGGTGAGTGTTTTTAAATATAACAGCACTTCTCTTAAATAATGTATGTGGTACTTAGCAGAAGAAAGTAATACTGTAAACACTTGAGTACCTTTCTCTTTTTCAAGCAGCTGACACTGAGCATTCAGGTCTTCTACTTGTTTAGACAATGTAACGACATTTTCCTCAAGCGACTGCTTAAGGTTTAAAACTTCCTGATTCTTCTCTTTCAAATTTTCCTCCAATTGGGCAATGTCTAGCTTGTATTTTTCCACTTGATCTGAGGCACAACTGCATTAAGACAAATTATTTTGAACAGCACATCTACTTAAGCATAGGGAAAAGTAACTGAAAAGGGGTGAAAATGATGTATTCATCGCATGTCAACAAAACAAGGACCAACTTAAAACTACTGTTGATATTACCTTATTTCTTCAATGTATTCTAAGAGTTTTTCTGTTTCAGATTTATCATCAGTCTTTTCTTTCTGTATTGAAACGCTAAGAAAAAGGTATAAGTATATTAATACATACAATAATCACACGTGGTGCTTACTCTGTACTAGATACTGTTATGTCAGGTGGGCTGATGCCAGAGTCTAAACTCTGAACTGTTAATTTATGTGACATCTCAAGTTGACAATTTCATTTATGCAAATAGGACTTAGGTTGTTGTTTTTTTTTTTAAGTGAGAAAAACTTTCCAAATATAAAAGGGCTGAGATGATGAGTCCTCATCTACAACATTGCAAGAGTTAGACACAATCTTCTTTGTAGCTTTCCTGGTTTCCCCACCACCACACACAAAATAGCATTCTGTAAGCCACAAAGCCTTTGTTCCAGGCTGCCTTATGAACAGTTACTATGTGTTTACCTCCTCCAAACACCTCAATTTAAGAAATGGGCAAAAGACTTAAATAGACAACTTACAAAAGGATATATAAGAATGGTTACTAAAAGTATAATCAACATTAATAGCAATACATTAAAATAACAAATGAGATGCTACTTCACAGCTACTAGAAGGGCTGACATCACACTGACATCAAATGCTGGTGAGACGTGGAACCCCTGGAACTATTAGACATCACTAACTGGGCATGTGAAACGGTTCATCCACTTTGACGTTTTGAAAATGTTGTACACATACTATCCTGTGACCCAGGAATTCCACTCCTAGATATTTACTCAAGAGAAATAAAAACATGTCCACAAAAAGGTATACATAATAGTCTTATTCATAACAGAAAGAAACTGGAAACCCAAATATTGATCAACAGGAGAACAGTAAACAAATGGAGATTTATTCATATAGTGGAATACTACTCAAATACAAAAAGGAACTAATTATAACACACACATACACACACACACACACACGCACGCACGCAATGATAAACATGCCCCCAAAAGCCAAACTAATTTATGATGACGGAAGTCAGAAAGTGGTTGCAGGTGGGGTCATTACATGGGGAGTAGGAGCAGGAACAGGCATGAGTGAAGGAACTTGGTGAGGGGATGGCAGTATTCTCTATTGTATCGGGTGGTAGTTATTCAGGTATATACAACTGTCAAAAGTCATCAAACTGAGTACTTGTGATTTGCACATGTTATTGTATGTCAATCACAGCTCGGTAGTCAAAACAAGGTTAGAGCCCTGGCCGGTTTGGCTCAGAGGTTAGAGCCTCGGTCTGCGGTCCAGAGAGACTCAGGGTTCAGTTTCCACTAAGGGCACATACCTCAGTTGCGGTTTGTCCCCGTCCCTGGTTGGGTTGTGTGGGTGGCAGCCACTCGATGTGTACCTTTCACATCGATGTTTCTCTCTCTCTCTTCCTCTCTCCCTCCCGCTCTATCTGAACAAAAAATTTAAAAAAAGTCCTCGAGTGAGGATAAAAAAAAAACAAACAAAAAAACAAAAAAGAAAAAACAAGGCTAGAATTTGTGCATCAGTCACAGCCTCCCACACCAGCGCTTCTCAATTTGGGTCAACTTGACCATTTCCACTAGATTATGCTATTAGGAAGATGATGAGGCCACTCCTCATCACTGATACAGAAGATGTACACAAGTAATAACAGTTATACGTCTTTTCAGCCTAAAATATTTGGGAATGAGTAGGTCTCAGCTGTCAATTGGGGAAAAAATCAGGCAATTAGAAGAAGGCGATGAGGTAAGTATGGCGAGAAGGTGAATGTCGGCAGAAACAATAGCAGATGAGAGAACTGGATACTCAAGGGGGCACTCACAGTTTCCCCTCGAGCTGGGCCACTTTCCCCTGCGACTCTTCGAGATTCTTCTGGGTGACCTGCAGTGTCACCTCCATGCCTTGTTGCTTAGCCATCATACTCTACACAACAGAAATATGTTGTAGGAAATGAGAAACTGTTCAGATCCACAGATGCAAACACCACACACTCAGCCAAGGTAACACTCACCCTCATCTTAGTTTCTCTTTTGTTTCTAAGCTTCATCAACTCAAGGCTTAGAATTCTCAGATTCTTCTGGTTACTGTCTTCAGAAAACTGAGTACAAAAAACAGTTAAAAGAACCAGAAATACTTTCTGCTAAGTCATATCTCAAATTACTTAAACACTGATTCATCTGCCAATTATTGGGACTGTAATTTTCCTGCAGTATCTTCTGACAGAACAAACAGCCTTTGACCGACACCAGGATCATTACTCACACGACTATTATTCTTGTCCTTCCTTTTCCTTCATGTGACTTTCTGGTTTTATTTATTTATTTTTTTGTTAATCCTCACCCGAGTTGAAGGGAGGGAGGGAGGGAGGAGAGAGAAGAGAGAGGGAAAGAGGTAAAAAGGGAGAAAGGGAGAGAGAAAGAGAGGGAGAGAAGGAGAGAGAGAAAGAGAGACAGATCTACTAGTTGCCTCCTGCATGACCCCAACCAGAGCCAGGAACTGAACCCATGACCCTTCAGTCTGCAGGCCAAAGCTCTAACCACTGAGTCACCAGCCAGGGCTCTGGTTTATTTTTTAAAGTAGTTTGGGTAGTCACTTACCTCTACATGCTGGGAAGTTCAATGCAAGGCTACAGAACAAGCTCCTTGAAGAGGATTTCGAAAATGGAGTTTAATTAACAAAATGCATTTGAATTGCCGGGTCTACTCTGAAATATGTGAGGACTATGGAGTCCACCCCAGGCAATGAAATCCGATCTCCCTGAATGGGGCCCAGGCATCTGTTCCCTTTCCACGTTTAATTCTTATGCATGCTCATTACAGACCCTGAGTAAATGACTCTTAAAATGAATAGTGAGCCCTGGCCAGTTTGGCTCAGCGGTTAAAGCACTGGCCTGCGGACCAGAACGTCCCGGGTTCAGTTCCCACTAAGGGCATGTACCTCAGTTGGTTTGTCCCTGGCCCTGGTTGGGGTCGTGTGGGTGGCAACCAGTCAATGAGTCTTTCTCACATCGATGTTTCTCTCTCTCTCTTACCCCCTCTCTCCCTCCTGCTCTATCTGAAGATAAATGCAAAAATGTCCTCCGGTGAGGATAAAAAACGAACAGTGATTTATAGCCTTCTTCTACTTCTGTAAAAAGCAAAATGACCATGTTAAGTCCTATTAGTATATTAAAACTGATAGACACAACTTATCGACTAAACACATTTATTCATTTTGCACCTCATTCTAAAAAGGATCTCAGATGGAAGCCTGCTAACTAAACACATTTATTCATTTTGCACCTCATTCTAAAAAGGATCTCAGATGGAAGCCTGCTATTATATACTACTATTTATTTCAAAGAAGGATCTTCAAAGTGACTTCCAGACGTAAGTTCTACAACTTTGATTAATGTCCTTATTTATGGGGGTTACTTTGAAGGAGGGTGAGAAAATGTCAGACATTAAAAAAAAGTAATATGTTTGTTTATAACTTCTTATGTGCCAGGCAAAATAATAAAAAATGATACAATAATAATTCCTACTGGAAGCGGCTTAATATTTAAAGTACATTTAGTGAAGGAAAAAAGATTAAACTAAAATCTAAAATTCCCAAACAATTAGTATGAGAAAAAAACATGTTCGTTATGTATTCAGTTGTAAACATTATCGTGTGGTTCAAGTACCTTAGACTTTAGCAGCTCATTGGTCCTGGCTAGCTCAGTAAGCTGCTTTTCCAGTGCAGCGTTACTTGCAGAGAGAGAGGTTTTCTCCCTGACTGCAGCACTGAGCTTTGCTTCCACCTTCTCCAGCTCAGCTTCCAGACCCTGGAGACGTCTGTCCTGAGCACCACGTTCCTGCACGAGCACACGGATCTGGATGGAAACAAGGTGATGAACGAATGATTCATGGACACAATGCCAACGCAACTAGCTGCTACTGATAAAACCTTGACGTTCTAGGAAAACCTCTGATTGTGACAGGATGCTCCCAGATATTCTAATTTCACTAGCTGTTTGAACAATCATATTTAATTTATGAAACGTCTTTAAAAATCTGCAAGTATTTCGAGAACACAAGATTTTAATCACCATAAACTTCCTGGTATAATTAAAGTCTTTATTGATCTTTAAGATGTTTACCTATAAGAGCTCTTATTTTCTTGAGTTCTAATTACTGTATATGAAATCAAATTATAGTTTAAAATGCTAAATAACTTTTTCATCTGAAGAAGGCAGAACTGGAATTCTTGGTAGGATGCAGTAGGCATCAGCAAGCCATTGTGTCTGTTGCAATTACTAGACACAACCCAAACCCCAAATCAAAACCACATACAGTCGTCCCGCGGTTAATCTGTTCCAGACTCTAGCGGTTGCGCCTGGCATTGAAGGATTGCTGGGGTGCCTGAATACATAGGCCTACAGCCCATACATACAGTAGTTTTAATTTTAATTGTAATACAGGGGTATCTAATTGACTCAGACAACCGAGTGCACGCTGTATCATTTTCACTGTCTTGATCAACTTTTTAATGAATATATTTGAAAAATCTGTGATAGACTGAAGCCACAAAAGTTGAAGCATGCAGTGGCGAGGGATGACTGTATTTCTAAAAAAAAAGTGGAAGCCAAAGACAATGAAATGGCATGTTTAAAATATGTGTGTGTGACTTCCAGTCAAGATGGTGGCATGGTAAAGGTACTGCGTCCTCCCACAACCACATCAAAGTTACAACTAAACTACAGAACCACCATCATTCAAAACTGCCTGTAATCGAGCTGAACGAAAGTCCTACAACTACGGAATTAAAGCAGCAGCCACATCCAGACTGGTAGGAGGGCGGAGGTGGACGGGCTGGTCCCACACCCATGTGTGGCGGATAAAAATCAGGAGGACACCTTGGCTGGGAAGGTCCTTCCTGAGGACTGAGGGGTCCCCGTCCCACACCAGGTGCCCTGGTCAAGGTTCCAGAGCCCCCCCGCCCCGCAGCTCCTTAAAGGGCCCACGCATGGACTTATCGGACTCACTCCCTCTATGCTCAGAGGGGAGGCAGCTCGAGGGGCGCCAGAGACATACAGGGAAGAACTGAACTGTTTGGCACTGGAGCGAGGGCTGGATAGGGGGCAAACCATCTATTTGGAATATAAGGAAGCAAAAAATGCCCAATCAGAACAGCAAAAAGAAAAAAGACTCCAAAAAAATGAGGATAGTGTAAGGAGCCTCTGGGACAACTTCAAGCGTGCCAACATTCACATCTTGGGAGTGCCAGAAGGAGGAGAGAGAGAACAAAAAATCGAAAACCTGTTTGAAACAATAATGGCAGAAAACTTTCCTAACTTGGTGAAGGAAACAGACATACAAGTCCAGGAAGCACAGACAGTCCCAAACAAGATGAACCCCAAGAGGCCCACACCGAGACACATCATCATCAAAATGCAAAATGTTCAAGACAAAGAGAGAATCTTAAAAGCAGCAAGAGAAAAGCAGCTAGTTACCTACAAGGAGTTCCCATAAGGCTGTCAGCTGATTTCTCAAAAGAAACTTTGCAGGCCAGAAGGGAGTGGCAAGAAATATTCAGAGTGATGAAAAGCAAGAACCTACAGCCAAGATTACTCTATCCTGCAAAGCTGTCATTTAGAATCGATGGCCATGTAAAGAGTTTTCCAGACAAGAAAAAGTTAAGGGAGTTCATCACCACCAAACCGTTATTATGTGAAATGATGAAGGGTCTTTTTGAAGAAAAAGATAAAATATATGAACAAACAAAATGGCAATGAATACATATCTGTCGACAATGGAATCTACAAACAAAATGAACAGGCAGAACAGAAGTATTCTCATAGATACAGAGAACATTTTCTTGGTTGCCAGATGGGAGGGGGGTTGGGGGAATGGGTGAAAAAGGTGAAGGGATTAAGAAGTACAAATTCATTGCTAGACTGACAAATCTCAAAGGGAAAGGGGTTGGGGTATGGGAAGAAATAAACCAAAGAACTTATATGCATAACCAATGGACACAGACAAGAGTGTGGGAAAAGGCGGGAGGGGGGGTGGGAGTGGGGACTAGGGAGTGAATGAGGGAAAAATGAGACACATCTGTAATACATTCTACATTCAACAATAAAGATTTAATAAAATAAAGTAAAATAAAATATGTGTGTGTGTGTGTGTGTGGGGGGGCTATCAATCTAAAATTCTATTCCCAATGAAAAAAAATCTTTAAATACGAAGGTGACATAGAGATGTTTCAGTCAAAAAAAAAATGTAAGACGGGCCTGAGTCGACAGCACAGTCGGCCTCCAGATCCCTTCTCCTCTGTTGGTAGGAAAAAAAGGATGGTATTGGAATATTCTTACTCTTCTGAATCCTAATTCCTTGTTTAGTTCTTTGTTGATTGGTGTTTTTTTTTTTTAATGATTTTACAATGAACCATATGTTTGATTTATTCTTTTCTGTCTAACTTGAAAACTTTTCTTATGGCCCTTGTTTAGTTTGTTAAAGGAATCATTAGTTTAAGATCATTACTGTCATGCTTGTATTGCACTTAATGTACTTTGAAGTGCATTTATTACTTAACATTTTGTAACCTGAATAATTTCACCAAATGAATACCTTTTGATAGTTTGTAATCAGTTCTTCCAGTTGTTGCTTGGTACTTTAGATAAATATGTAAAGGTAAAAGAGAAGTAATTTTTCTGTATTCTGCCAATCATTTTATATAATAAAATCATCCATTTTTACTTAAAAAAAAATGCAAGAAAGGTTGAAAGTGTTTGATAATAGTAGACCTGTACAACAAGAAACACTAGAGGAAGTTTTCTGGCGGAAGGAGAATGATCCCAGATGCTTACAAGATGACACCTTAAATATAAGGGATTGACCATAAAGGGACTAGAGATGACTTATCATGTAAATATTACACAAAATAAAACAAAACAAAAAACTGGTATGGCTATATAAATATCATACATAGTAGACTTTAAGGCAAAAAGTACTACTAGTGATAGATGAAAAGAAAATTTTATGACAAAAAGGTAATTTCAAGAGGAATTCAAATTTGCTATGCACTTAATATCATAACTTCCAAATATAAACAGCAAAAAGTGACAGAATTAAAAAAGAAATACACTATTTCACAGAGCTGAAATTTTAAAAGTACCCCTCTCAGTAACTAACAGAATAATATCAGTATAGGTAAATATTTAAACAAAACTAGTAACCAACTTGAACTGACATATATAGACCACTATACCCAACAAGTGCATATATAGTTTTTACCAGAAAACATTTACCAAATCAGACTATTTGCTGAGTATAAAAGTATCAAGAAAGCATAGTTGTATCATGTCACATGAAAAGTATTTTGTATTCTTTTTTCTGTTCATCCTAACCCAAGGATATTTTTCCTATTAATTTTTAGAGAGAGTAGAAAGAAGGGTAGGAGGAAAAGAGGGAGGGAGGGGGAAGAGAGAGAGAGAGAAAGAGAAAAAGAGAGAAACATTGATGTGAGACACAGTGATTGGTTGCTTCCTGCACGCCAGGAATTGAACCTGCAACCTAGGTATGTGCCCTTGATTGAGAATCAAACCTGTGACCCTTCGGTGTGAGGGCTGACACTTTAACCACTGACCCATACCAGCCAGGGCTATTTTGTACTCTTATTGGCTTTATTGTCACACTAATCTCAGTATTTTAAGCCAACAACGTTTAACTAAAAATGTATTAAGCACCACTTTATGTATATATGGCTGCGAACTATTCGCTGGGGACTGAATGGGTTCCAAGATCCCCTACCATAAGATTCTCTATGCTTACATTATTGACTTATAACTGGTGTTTATACAGTAGAGAAAAGAACACTAAAATAATCTACATCACACTTTTTGCAGCTAAAGAAGCTTAAGTTCCAGAAAAGGATCTGTAAATTCAAATGCCTACATGGCTAAGTGGACAACATAAACAAGCCGAGAGAGCCAGGGGAGGACTGAAGAGCGATGTGGAGTCTAAAGGGGCAGCCCGGAACAACCCTGGCAGGTTGTCACCCAGGAGGGGAATGTGAAAAGTGCTGTCAGATCTGACTTTGCGACAGAAGTCAGAAATCTGACTTTGCTTTGCATGGAACTTGGCATTTAAATACTGACAATTAACGGACGTTAAAAGACAACAACAACCTGGCTGGTGAGGCTCAGTGATTGAGCATTGATCCATGCACCAAGAGGTTGCTGGTTCGATTCCCAGTCAGGGCACATGCCCACGTTGTGGGCCAAATCCCCAGTGAGGGGCATGCAGGAGGTGGCCAATCAATGTTCTCGCTCATCAATGTTTCCATCTCTCTCTCCCTCTCCCTTCCCCTCTAAAATCAATAAAGGGGAAAAAAAAGACAACAACAACAAATACTTTAGGGCTTAAATAAAATAGAGCTCTATTTGCCAAAAATGCCAATTCTAAAAAATTAACTGACATAAATGACCAGTTCTAATCCTAGCCACTGCCTCTTACTTGCTGTCGGAGATTTACTGCCCCCATCCCCCATTAAATCCTTTCATGTATCCTCAATAAAACAACAAAAATAAATACACAAAGATCAGAGTTACCTTGACATATTCTTGGTCCTAAGCCAATATTTTACTGTAATCAATGAAAAACTTTAATATATCAAAAGAATATGTCCCCTGGAAAGAAACACAAATAAAAGACTCATGGCAATGCAAAGCCGGCAGTGACTAGCTTAGCCCTGCTTAGGAAGAAAGTGGTTTCTTTAGGTCAGCTCTGCTCAGTAGGAATTTCTGCCATGGAGGGAAGGCACTGTCCAGTATGGTAGCCTCTCCTCACATGTGGCTACTGAGCACCTGAACTGTGACTAGTGCATCTGAAGAATTGAGTTCCTAATTTTATTTAATGTAAATAGTCACATGTGGTGAGTAGCTGCCATGTAACAGTGTAGCCTGAAATCATTTATTTCATCCTTAAGGAAGGCATATACCAAGGGTGCAGAGGAATGCATCAGGTTAGCATAACTCCATCCCAATCCAACTACCCTGTAGGATTTCCTGCACACTAAGCAATTCCCTAGTTAGAGTCTTAACATATAGAATAGCATATAGGAAAAGTAAATGTAAATGCTTGATCTACACATAATTGCAATTGATTTTTAGTTATCATTTTTTCATTAAGTGGGTTATCTTGAATCTGTCCCTTGGTATGCTAACAACTTGACTGCCACACAGACAACCAGGCTCTGATATATGGTGTCCAACCCAAGGAATGACTACCCTGTAGCACTGGTCTGGATGGTATATTTGCCAGCCAGTATAACTCCTCAACCTGAAACAGAATCCCTGTCCCTTATTTCTATGTAACTCTCTTTCCATTATATGTAGCACATTTATTTTTTGATAAGTTGAAAGCATTGCTTACCTCTTTTTCCAACATCTTCAAGTCTTTATCATTCTTTTGAGATTCTTTCTATTTAAAAGTCAAAGAACAGTGATGATTAAATTTAAAGCCATGAACATCACAGCTGAATTTGATTTTTAGTTATCAGAAAAGACTGAGGATTCCAAACAGTTAATTTCTATTTTAAGTGTTTCCGAGTAGGTGACTTAGTAAATGAGGGAAAAAGTTTTTTAAATATCAGAATATTTCAGGCTTGAAAGTTTTGACCCCAATAGATTAGTTTTTCCCCCTGGTAAGTTCAAGTGAAAAGGACAGGTGCAGCTCTATAAATAAAGCTACTGACTGCTTCTTTCTAATATTAAGCAGCAATAAATCTTGAATATTTAATTATGTTATCCCAGAAAGAAGAGAATCTTACAAAGAGAAATCAACGTAGATATCCAAAGAGGGGGAAATATGCGAAGAAATAAAAACTGAAATAGCACCAGCTTCTACTCTAATCTACTTATTGCCTTTATTCTAAATAAGACATATAATTTTCATACTACATCATCTTATATGCAATATGTCCCTTTTTTGAGACAGTGACCAAAAACAGAATAGCTATCTTTTCCATCCAAAAATGGGAGAAAATGCATAAACATCTTAAATAAAACCTGTTTTATATGTTTTTAATTGGGGGGAAGAGGGAACACCAGTCTCATGTTTATTCATTTACCATCTGATGGCATTTTCTTATCAAGAAAAGCCCAGCCCTGGCCGGTTTGGCTCAGCGGTTAGAGCATCGGCCTGCGGTCCAGAGAGACCCGGGTTCAGTTCCCGCTAAGGGCATGTACTTCGGTTGCAGTTTGTCCCCGGCCCTGGTTGGTCGTGCGGGTGGCAGCCACTCGATGTGTCCCTTCACATCAATGTTTCTCTCTCTCTCTCTCTTCCTCTCTCTCCCTCCCACTCTATCTGTACAAAAAATGGAAAAATATCCTCGGGTGAGGATAAACAAAAAAAAAAAAAAAAGAAAAGCCCATTATTTGGGGGCTTTGCACAATCTTGAAATTTGTTTTTAATTTAGTTTTCTAAGAGGGTTTTTGAATGAATTCAAAATTTCAAAACAGCTTCTCCAAGAAATTTACATCAATTTCTAAGAAGAATGACTATATCACTGCTGCCCAATAGAAATATAATGCAAGCCATATACTCATTTTCAAATTTTCTAATAGCCATATTTAAAATTTTATGTATTTTACTTAATATAAAAATATAAAAAATATTATTTCAACATATCATTAGTATGAAATTATTAGTGAGCTGTTTTGTTTTTCGTCCCTGTTCAAAATTTGCCGTGCGTTTTATACTTATAGCACAACTCAATTCAGATTCTAAATTTTCTTTTTTTTTTTTATCCTCACCCGAGGACATTTTTCCATTTTTTGTTCAGGTAGAGTGGGAGGGAGAGAGAGGAACAGAGAGAGAGAGAGAAATATCGATGTGAAAGAACACATCGAGTGGCTGCCACCCGCACAACCGACCAGGGCTGGGGACAAACTGCAACCGAAGTACATGCCCTTAGCGGGAACCGAACCCGGGTCTCTCAGGACCACAGGCCGACGCTCTAACCGCTGAACCAAACCGGCCAGGGCCAGATTCTAAATTTTCATCAGACACACCTATCTGTATATAGAGCTCATAACACATACATGTGAAAAAGTAGATTTGCATGCCTAGGTGGTTCTGAAAACATTTTAAGAATTTTCCAACAACAGAATCAAGTATCAGTTTTTAAATATATGAATATTAATTAAAATGAAATATTAAAGCTTTTAAAAATATTTTTTAGAGAGAGCAAGGGAGAGAGAGAGAAACACCGATGTGAGAGAAACATTAATTGGCTGCCTCCTGCACATCCCCTACTGGGGATGAAGCCTGAAACCCAGGCATGTGCCCTGATGGGGAATCCAACCAGGACCTCTCAGTCCATGGGACAATGCTCAATCCACTGAGCCACGTCAGCCAGATCTAAATATTAAAATTTGGTTCTTCACTTTTGAATGCTCAATAGCCAAACGTGGTTGCGTAATCACTTCCTTATTGGACTAGGCAGCTCTGTATTACAGATCAAGAGATGTAGGTGTAATTGTCAAATGAATGAACAAGTCTAATCTCAACCTATGGCTTCGGTTTCCCAACTCTGAATCTTTTTCACATTAAAATATCAATTTGTATATCTCCATAAGAAAGTACAACTTGCCCTGGCTGGTATGGCTTAGTTGACTAAAGCATCATCCAACACACCAGAAGGTGGCAGGTTCAATCCCCAGTCGGGGCACGTGTGGAAGGCAACCAATTGATGTTTCCCTCTCTAAAATCAATTGAAAAATTTAAAAGTACAACTTGCTTTTATGAACTAATGGAAACAGTAACAGCAGGCTCTTGCACAAGCAATAACAGGAAGCTAATACGAATTTAATCCCCTACCACTTCTTGGCAGTTTATGACATCTCTTAGGCATTAGAATTCTTTTCCCTTTCTCTTTACCAATACTTACCCTTCACCCAAAACAAACACAAAACAACTCAAATGATGGTAACAAATCAAAGCAACACATAACTTTTAAAGTATTACTGGATATTATATAATTTATCTAGATATAGAAATGACTAATAAGTGGAGACCATTTCATAATTCTGAACTGGAAGCACATTTAAGTATGATATATTTAGTAATGGTGTAGGCAGAAATGTCAAGCTTACTGAAGTCCTAGTGATAATATGTTTCATTAATTTACAAGTTTACTTATAAACTTAATTTATACACTTAACCCATTCTAGTCAAATACAACACCTTTCAGAAATATTTTCAGTGCAACAGTTCATAAACCAGGTAGAACATCAGAGCTCCTCACCTTTAATCCCATACTCTTAACTTTTCTTGCTGAAGCAGGCAAGGTGGTATCTTTGTCAACAGTAAGATTTTGTTGCGATTCTGCAATAAATGAAATCACAGATGAAACACAATTTCAAAATTTCTTATTCCAACTATTAGTGAAGCAATATAAAGTTATTCTTTTCCTGATGGTACATTTCCAAATAATTAGTTGCACGATATTTTTACACATCTATCATTCTTCTGATTTTCTTAATGTTCTCTGATGGAAGGTGAAGGCAATTACAAAAAGGGAAACTACATATCTATGTGAGTGTTTTAGCTTAATTTTCCTTGTTATACAATAGTGTAATGACGAAAGCATTATTCTGTAGTTGACTGTCTTATAAATCCATCAAGTACAAAAATTTATAGCTGTAGTTTCACATGTTTAGAAATACTATAACATCTTTACATTTAGATACTACTATTCATAACTTTAAAACTTATGAGATCATAGAACCATATTTTATTTTGGGATCCATTACCTTTTTGTGTTTTAAATCTTTGTGATTTCTGAAAGGACACTGGTCCTTTCAATACTTCTGAAGTTTTCACATCATAAGCACCTGGAGATGGTGCACAACCTACAGGAAACATAAAACATTAAAGTCTCATCTAATGTTACTTTTAATCCTAAGTTAAAAACATGCCAAAGTAAAGTGAGTAATATAAATGTGAAAAATGCCGTTAATAAACGCTTTGTTCTTTCAAATGTAAAAATAGCAAAACAGCAAAGACAGTCTTGGGGTGAACATCTGTAAGAACAAGCAACGTGGTTTTCTTATTAAGGATTGACTATAAGAAATAACATATTTGGAATCAACCCTACACAGTCACTGAACTTAACTACCATCAGATTCTAGAAATGAAGCAACTAAGTGTCTAGCTCTCAAGCAAATGATTATGCACAGCAAATGTAAGATCTGGCTCTTACATACTGACAATAATAAAAATGTCATTAGCATAAAGCTTTAGTTGATTGGGAATCCATAGGATTATACTATTCTCTGAAAAGCTATTTACTTCAGTCTAGAGTTTCATGCCATTAAGTAGGAACAGCAAGGAGCTTGACAATTCCAAAAGGTAACTCATACTGTCCCCTCAGTGTTTTTCAAATGGGATGATAAAAGCTCATTAGTATATCTTGACTAGCATTTTTTTTAAACAAGTGAAAGATAGAAAACATCAGTGTGATTCACACATTGCAAATTAAAAAAATATTTTTTTTCTTTTTTTTTTAGAGAGAGAAGAAGGGAGAGGGAGAGAGAAAAACATCGATGAGAAAAAAACATCAATGAGCTACCTCCTGCATGCCCCAACTGGGGATCAGCCTGCAACCAGGAATTGAACTGACAACCTCTTGGTGCATGGGTCGACGCTCACAAACTGAGCCACACTGGCCAGGCACACATTGCAAATTTAAGCACTGTTTTCTGATACTTTTGTTTGTTTTATGTAGAAATATAACTATATCCCATGTACAGATATACAATTTATTTCTTATCCTAGGACACAATTAAAAACTATTAAAGATTAAAGTTATTGCTTTCAAGTCTAAGCAGGTCATAAAAACATCAAGGATAGAATTAAGTTTCCATTCTTCTTCCTGGAACAATGATCATTTATACATGCTGACATAAAGATTCCAATCCTAGGAGCTGTCAGATCTAACTGTGGTCAATAAGGGGTAGAGGTAGTGGGTTTCCAGTCAGGAGAGAGAGTATTAAAATGAAGGGTAGAATTCACTGGGGTACATAAGGCAAAGGCAGACTTAGCAAAAAGCATCAATCTTGGCTAGCTCAGATTTCTCACACTGCACAACTGTTAATACCATGGATAAATGCAAAAAAAAGTCTTCAGGTGAGGATAAAAAAAAAAGAACTAGGTTGAACTCCTGCCTGTACCTACCATCTCTCTGTAAGACTAGAGTATATATTTTCATGCTATAGGTCTTTTCCTTAATAACACTTAAATGTACTAGATTATAGATACAATTTGTTAGAAATGTGGGGAGAGAAAACATCAAACAAAAGAAATGGGATAACTCAGGAGATATCTGGAACAACTTATATCTTGATCAACAATAATCAGAAGGTAACAGAGGCAGTCAATACTTATATGTAAATAAACATTTTATATGTAAATAAAGCATTACATTAAATAAATGCTTCAAACTTCCAGAACTTTTTAGTTTCTATTTCTTCCACCTCAAATGGCTAGTCCACCTTCCATTTTGCCTACTCTCACTTGTCCTTCAGATCTGTCTGATGTCATCTCTTCCAATTTTCTCTGAATCTCCCAGTCAGGTTAGAACTCACACACAGCGGCTGGTGTCTATCATTCCTATCCTAGAACCTCCAAGTTTTGTACAGGTGTACTTATATAGTGTACTTATCTACTTCCCACATTAGAAAATGTACTTATGCATGCCCCACATTAGGCAAACTGCCTGGAGGTAGAGACTGTCTTAATCATGATTGTATCTCTAGTATTTAGCTCAGGGTTAAGGTTAACAGTGTGGTGAAGAAAACACAGAAAGTCACTGGGGATGTGGTAAAGGGAATAGGGCTTTGTAATCAGCCAGATTAGGTTAAATCTGGCTTTGTCTGCCAATCAGTAAATATTACTATGTGCCAGATACTGTGTCACTGGGAGAAGATGGTGAATAAGAACATTTCCATTTTCACGTTGTCTGACAGAGACTAAAAACATATAACCATTAAATGTGTATGTTTTAACGGATAAATCGTGGTTCAGCCCTACCACTTACACGCTGCTCAATGCAGTTACAAAGCCCTCAGTTTCCTTGTCTGTAAAATAAGGACAGTATCAGTACCTTCCTCATTTGGCTGTTGGAAAAAAAACAAAAAACAAAAAAAAACCAAACTAGATCTGGCAGGAAAAGTCTTAGCACAGCCCCTGCATAAAGTTAGCCTGTAACAAATGATTTGAGTGTCTTACCACATCCAAGGCTCCTGGTTATTGTACTTATGTACTGCAGTGGTTAAGAGCACAGGCTGGATTTCATGAAGACCCAGTTTTATTCACCAGTTTTGCCAGTTTGGTTGAGTACCATTGAGGAAATCTAAGTCTCAGTCATTTAATCAGTAAAATAATAGATAACAGAATCACTTCTCCAGGATGTTGGGGAATTAAAACAGAACGAATAATCTATGTAAAGACCTGGTACAGTGCCCGGGGCACCGTCAATGTTAGCTGCCACTACTGCCACAATTTTACAACCACAAACTGCCTTTAGCAACCTTCCTTCTTTTATGCCCGAATGGAATATCCAGAAAGAAATCCATAAATACAGATAAAAAACATGGTCAAGTGTATCTTTTTCTTTCTTTCTTTCTATCAGTAAGGCCTTCGCACTGGACCACCAACTAGCTACCAATGCTTCCTCTCCCCCATGCCTTCTCTCTGCCTCAGTATCTACACAGCACTTTCATTGGCTGTACTGTCCAACCGAGTGGAAGCTCCCTGGGGCAGACACTTTGCTCCGTTCACTGCTGTATCCTTAGTATCCTAAATTGTGCTTGGCATGTAGTAAATGCTTAGTTTATATTTAAGAATCAACTGAACGAGCCCCATGCCAGCCCTGGAATCGCCTATTTCCTTCTGATAGAGGGAACCGTAAAGGGCAAGGGGCGTGAGAGCAACTCCCGTCCCCCAGTCCCTTCCCCCATACGCACCAGAAGGGTCATTGAATCGTTTCAGGGGCGCCTTAGGAAAGGACATGCCGACGACCAGCTCCACAAACCCAAGGGGGACTAGCGTTCCTCGGCAACTTCCTGGTGCTGATTTTGGCATTCCAGGCTTCAAATTCAAATTTCCCGGCTCATTCCCCGCCCACCCCGACGTTAGCCAATTGCAAAACCAAATCCCTCGGCACACCAATCCAGGAAAGGAAGAAGCAACGAACATGCGCACTAAGATCTCGCCGCGTCCAGTTAGGTGGCTTGTGAGTTTAAGCTTCCAGCCAATAGAAGACCAGTACTGTTTCCGCGCCCCGTCCTCCGCCCCATGTCCAATCACTCCCGGCGTTACTCAACGGCCACTTACGTACTAGCAGCAAGTGCGCAAGCGCACTTCAATAGGAGACGTTTGAAAGTCGGCCTGTGGCGTCATATAGACCGCAGTGCAGTGAGTTCTAGCCTTGCAGATTCCAACCCTTTCCTACCATCCCTGGGATGTAAACGTTTCCGGATTTCAGTTTTTTCAACTTGGGTCCTGCCAATGTCCTTAATAGCCATTGAAAGGGAAAAACTAACGCACTGAGATGTCAGCTTAATACCTGCGCATGAGCGGTGACCCGAGCGGAGAGACCGGGGCGTGGCCTGCGCGTGGAGATTCGGCGCATGCGCTCAGCTCGCTCCCTGCAGCTGGAGCTGGGTGGCAGCTGGAGTATGTCGGCCCCATTTGAGGAGCGCAGTGGGGTGGTTCCGTGCGGGACACCGTGGGGCCAGTGGTACCAGACCTTGGAGGAGGTGTTCATTGAAGTTCAGGTGCCGCCAGGCACTCGCGCCCAAGATATCCGGTGCGACCTGCAGAGCCGGCATGTGGCGCTGGCGGTGGGTGGCCGCGAGATCCTCAAGGTAGCGGCAGGTCGGGGCGCGTGCCCCGTTTATTCGCGGCCTCCCCAACCCCGAGTCCTAGGTCTCATGGTTTCCGTAGGACGACTGTCGGAAGGCCGTTGGGCTTCTCCAGCTGGCCGAAGAGTGGTCAAAGTTTGGTCTGGTCGGAGCCCCCGCCTCCAGGGCCAGTCCTGAGCTGGTGGAAATTTGAGGAGCCCATTTTTCCGGCTTTATTTCTAAACCTAATGAAATTGCTTCTATAATGAAATTGCGGGTATTCAGCAGAGAACAACTTAACTAGATCGTTAGAGAAATATTTATATTCCATGCACTCTTCCAGGCACTGCCCTAAGTGCCAAAAGTCAGCGTTGAAGGAGACAGACAGGGTTCCTGCACTCAGGCTGTGGCAAGTGGGGAGGAGTGAGGATTCAGAGATGATGTCAGTGATTTTTCTCATCTAAAAATTAGAGAAGTTCTGCATGTTTCTGGAGTGGATAAGCAGATAATCAGGAGGTGTGTGAAGAAAATAATACCTCTTTTATTCCCACCAGTGCCCTTTGGGTCTGGGAGCCACTGTTGCCTTGTTAAGCCTTATAGAGTTAAATTCAATGAAGTCGAAGTTAGATTCATTTCTCAAATTAGATGTCAAGATGTTAGATGGCAGTGGTGAAGACTGGTAGCATGCCTGATTCTGCCATCTTTCTAGTTTTGTAATCTGGGCAAGAGATTTTTCAGTGTCTCTGAAAGGCAGTAATTATAGCATCTTTCTTATAGGACTGTTTTGAGCATAACAGTATTTGTGTGAACAAAGAGCTTGGAGTAGTGCCTAGTGTGTAATAAGCACCCCGGACATGTTAGCTATTATTATTTACTATGGAAGTGCTTTGAGTGCCTTCCAGAAAAGGAAGTGTCATGTGAAAGACATTGATTTATATCAACATGGTTTGAATGACCTTTCTGAATAGTTCTGCAGTTCATAGTTTCCTAACCGTGGTGTAAGATTTCAATTCAAATTTACCTTAGTAATTCCAGTGATAACTTGGGAATTTAGCAATAATTCTTAATTCTAGGGTTTTAGGTGTACATTTAGACCAGTAGGACTTTTTTCACAAGTATTGATATATGACAAAAAGTGTGTATATTTTTGTTAATCCTCACCCCAGGATATTTTTCTATTGACTTTTGGATAGAGTGGAAGGGAAAGAGGGAGAGAAAGAGACAGACAGACAGACAGACAGACATATGTCAATGAGAGACACGTTGATTGGTTGCCTCCAGCACGGTCCCAATTGGGGCTGAGGTCGAACCCGAGACTTTCGTTGAGGGCCGCTGAGCCAAACTGGCCAGGGCAAAATGTATTCTTTTTTTAAAACGTGATATTTTCTAAAACAAATTTGGTAAACAACAAATAAATAGGTTTTAGCAGATGCATTCTCTTTAAAAAATTTTTTTAAATATGTTTTTATTGATTTTTTAGAGAGGTAGAAACGTCGATGTGAGAGATACATCAGTTGGCCACCTCCTGCATGCCACAGACTGGGGATGGAGCCCAAAACCCAGGCATGTGCCCTAACCAGGAATCGAACTAGGACCTCTCAGTCCATGAGACGATGCTCAATCCACTGAGCCACACTGGCTGGGCGATGCATTCTCTTTTAAACTTAGCTTTTTGCTTCTTTCTTAAAATGAGTTTCTGAAGAAAAACAGCAACAACTGATCTTATATCAGATCCATAGTATGTGCTAAAATAATTTTTTAATGCCAAATTGCCCAACAAAGAGATCGAGCCATTTTTTTAAAGTTTATTATAAAATACATCATTTCTTCTTAATTTCATCAGAAGAGCTCTTGTAACATATTTTAATATATATATTTTAATTGATCAGTAATTTAATTTTATATTTGGCTAATCAGTAGTATTTCTTCATCTTCTAAAAATTAAGGATCCCTGGTCTTTCTTTAGAGATCCCTGTGTTTTCTAACATAGTAAATATTTCAAGCAGTGTTAACTAGGTTTCATTTCACTTGCTAGGAGGAAACTTAGGCTTGAGCACCTATCAATGTGTTGAAATGGTATAAAATTTTATCTCCCTATTCTAACCAAATTAGACAATTACATGTGGATTAAATAGGAAATTGGGTAAGTCTCAAATCATGAAAGCTTTATAAAAATTAATGAAATTTCTATATTTTTAGTACCTTATATGTTTATTTTTCAGGGCAAACTCTTTGATTCTACAATAGCTGATGAGGGAACATGGACTTTGGGTAAGGGTAATCTATTATAAGTCTTAGCATCTTTTTAAAAATTACTTTTGTATTGAAACTTAGTATGTTTTTCTGTTATATTAGGTGTTTTGTCTTTGCAGCTTTGGGAGATACAGTTATAGAAATGTATTGACCACAATTGTATGTCAAGATTACCTAATGGTTTTTGAAAATATAAAATTTAATGATGAACTCTAATTTCTTTGTGATTTTTGTTTGTTTTTAGAGGACAGAAAAATGGTTCGTATTGTTCTTACAAAGACAAAAAGAGATGCAGCAAATTGTTGGACTTCTCTTCTAGAATCTGAATATGCAGCTGATCCTTGGGTACAAGACCAAATGCAGAGAAAACTTACATTAGAGAGATTCCAGAAAGAAGTAAGTCAGATAAATGTATGCATATGTGTGGGTAGTTCAACATCTTAAAAATAGAATAATTATTTTTTGAAATTAAAACTCATGAGGTTATGAAAATTACAAAAGTTCTGTAGAGGAATTTTTAAAGTTAAATGGTTAGAAAAATAATTGACCTTTTTATATATGGATTTGAATTTTTAAAAAATTTTCTTGAGAATTCATACTATCATGATTTCTCAGTTTAAATTTATTTAATGTACATCAGTGATATCTAAATAAACTCATAAAAACTCAATCAATATAAGCTTGCATAGTGTAAAAAAGTGAAATGCCCCTTCATCCACATCTCTACTTTCCATGCCTCTGTCTCAATCTCATCTCATCAGTATATAGGCTTGTTTTGTTTTTAACAAGAAGGGAGACTCACACTGTGTACATTGTTGTTTCTTTTTTTTTTTAATCCTCACCCAAGGATGTTTTTCTATTTCTCTTTAGACAGGGAGAGAGAGGGAGAGAAAGAGAGAGAGAGAGAAACATTTATGTGAGTGGGACACATCAACTGGTTGCCTCCCACACGGGGTCAGGGACGAACTGCCACCGAGGTACGTGCCCTTGACTGGAATCGAACCCATGACTCTGGTCTATGGGCTGATGCTCTAACCACTGAGCCAAACCGGCCAGGGCTTGTCATGTTTCTTTTTTTTTTATTTTATTTTTTTTATCCTCACCAGAGGACATTTTTCCATTTTTTGTACAGATAGAGTGGGAGGGAGAGAGAGGAAGAGAGAGAGAGGGAAACATCGATGTGAAAGGGACACATCGAGTGGCTGCCACCCGCACAACCAACCAGGGCCGGGGACAAGCTGCAACCGAGGTACATGCCCTTAGCGGGAACCGAACCCGGGTCTCTCCGGACCGCAGGCAGATGCTCCAACCGCTGAGCCAAACTGGCCAGGGCTCATGTTTCTTTTTTAATAATATGTCTTAATGTCTTGTTCCCTCTTAGTACACGTAGGTAAAACTCAATTTTTTTTTTTTTTTTGTACGTGCCCTTAGCAGGAACCAAACCCAAGACTCTGGTCCACAGGCCAACACTCCAACTGCTGAGCCAAACTGGCCAGGGCAAAACTCACTTCTTTAACTGCTTCAGAGTGTTTTCCAGTTGTTGTTGTGTGTGTGTGTGTGTGTGTGTGTGTGTGTGTTTTCTAGTTCGAATGTATTGTAATATTTAGCTATTCCTATTTGATAAAATTTAGATTTCCTCATTTATGCCTGCTGTTTCAGACAGTTTGTGCTTTCATCTGACACTATTCCAACATTCCTTTGAGATAGATATCTAGGAGAAGAATTACTGGATCTAAAGCACTGTTAAAGTTTTTATGAATAATTTCCATCTTGTGGTGATTTCCAAATGTGTATCTCTAGCCTAGACTTTTCTCCCAAATTTTGGACTCTCGTGTCCAGTTGCCTATTCAACATTCCTACTTGGCTAACACACATGTTAAACTAGCATGTCCAACACAGACGTCCTAACTTCTCTCCCCGATTTGTTCCACCTCTAGGCTTCTCATCTTAGTTGATGACATGGGTTGTCCAAATAAAAAAAATTGGGGGAATCGTCCTCCATTCCTGTCTGTGTCCTACACCCTATTTATTTTGTCAGGAAACCTTACTGGTACTACCACCGCCACCCTGATCTGCACTACCTCTAATGTCTTGTCTAGATTACTTCAATAACCTAATTGTTCTCTTCTACCTTTGCCAAGCTACAGTCCTCTCAAAATAGTAGTTAGAACAGTCGTTTAAAATGCAAGTCAGATTACATTACTTCTCTTCTCAGGACTCTCACTCTAGTAAAAGACAAAGTTCCTTACAAGGCCCTTTTTGATCTGGTCTTCCGTGATCTCCCTGACCCCTCTCAGTGCTGTCACCCTTGGTCATTCTGCTCTAGCCATACAGGCCTTTGGCTATTTCTTTTTTTTTTTTTATCCTCACCCGAGGACATTCTTCCATGTTTTTGTTCAGATAGAGTGGGAGGGAGGGAGAGAAACATTGACGTGAAAGGGACACATCGGTTGCCTGCCTCCCGCGCCACCCAACCAGGGCTGGGGACAAACTGCAACGGAGGCACATGCCCCTAGCGGGAACCGAACCCGGGTCTCTCTGGACCGCAGACGATGCTGCAACCGCTGAGCCAGACCAGCCAGGGCCCTTTTGCTGTTTCTTAAACATGTCAGGACATTCCTTTTCTGACCTTTTGTTTGGAGTGCTCTTTTTCCAAAGCTTGGCTAGCTTCACTGTTTCCAAATCATTGCTCAAAGATCATTTTTTCAGCTTTGATCATCCTATTTAAATACTGTAACCTCTTCATTTTCCTTATTCTGCCCTGCTTTTTTTTTCGTTTGCCATGGCACTTACCAACTTTTAACATACTAGATACCAACTCTTAATTCACTAGATCAGGGGTCCGCAAACTGTGGTCCATGAGTCAAGTCCAGCCCACTGCCTGTTTTTGAAGGAAAGTTTTGTTGGAACACTGCTGTGCTCTTTGCCTATTGTCTTTCATAAAAACAACAGCAAAATTGAGTAGTTATGACCGAGACTATATGGTCTTCAAAGCCTAAAATATTTACTGCCTGACTCTGAACAGAAAAGTTGGCTGACTCCTGCACTAGATAACTTAATGGTTTACTGTGTGTCTCCTGTAAGAGTGTTAAGCTCCACCGATGAAGGAATCTTTGTCTGTTCACTCTTGAATTTTGATCTTGGAGTCCACATGCCTCTAATGGTGTCTTCCAAACAGTAGGAACTCAATAAATGCTTGTTGCAATGAAATGCCCTCCAAAAAGACTAAAGCCTGAGATAATCCTTAATTCTTAGGATTATTATGAGGATTAACTACGTTATTATGAATTATATATGTATAACTCTTGGAACCCTGCCTGGCATATAGTAAAGTCTCAAAATATGCTGTTAAAATCTGTCTATACACTGATACCAAAGTGTGTGTTTGTCCATACAGTTGTCAACGTTGTAATACACATACTGGATATTCTAAATATTTGTAAGTCTGAAAATTACCTTATAGTTTTAAGTTCCGTTGTGGTGATTACTATGAAGTTTGGTACATTTTTACATGTTTAGTGACCATTTAGATTTTCTTTCTTGTCACTTGCTAGTTCATATCTTTTTATCATTTTGTTTTTAGGTTACTTATATTTTTCCTTACAGGTTTTATCATAAATTTTTTTTTTTTATCTTTTAGAATCCTGGTTTTGACTTCAGTGGAGCAGAAATCTCAGGAAACTATACTAAAGGTGGACCAGATTTCTCAAATCTGGAGAAATAGCTGCTTTTTTTTGCTGCGCTCTGTGGACTTCGCAGATGGTGCCGCTGGATCAAAGGATCAGATCATGTGGTGGGAGACAAGTGTGGATGCCGCAGTTAACAAAATGCAAAGTATATTTAAATGTGGTTCTAAAAATTGTATTCAAGTATGATTTACATAGGAAACATCTTAAATACTGTGGGAACTGTTCTATTGATATATGATAACTTTTTTTTTTGGACTTGTTTTTGCTCAGCATGAAGTTTTGTATGCTGCATTTTTCTAATTTCATATTTAACCTATATTTTTAATACAAAAAGATTAGGGTATAGATCTTATGAAATGACAGGGTGCCTTCAGGAAAAATTCAGTTTTTTCTGTTAATGACTGTGATGCAGGAATAACATTCAATAAACTTTTCTAAATGGGACTTGAGTATCCTTTTGTCTAAGTATACGAAGGAAATTATGTTACTGAAAAAAAATTTAGGAAAGGAAAAATTTCACAAACATATTCTAAGTTAATTTTAAAAGTTAGTGGAAATCTCTGGGTTAGTCTGTTATTTCTTTAGAGATCACTTTATGTCAAGAAGTTGAAAAATAGTTAACCTAACAGTAGTAATGGATTAATACAGAAGAGATTTGGTGAAGTGAATTTGATTATTGAACAAGTGCATTGTTAGTGCCAAAAACAAGTTATGGTCAATGATTATAAATCAGTGACATCATTTTAATCTCCAGTGATCCAGACTTAGAGGTAAGAATTATCTTGAAATTTTATTTTATCCTACTTATCTCCTTTTTAATTAAAAATATATTTTAAACAATCTCAAATGTGTAGGAGAGTTACAAGAACACAGAATTATTTTTTTCCTGAACCGTTTTGTGTCCAGTTATGTCTGTGTACCATAGTGTGTATTTCCTTGAAAGAAAATGTTCTTACATAACTACAGTACCACCATTAAAATCAGGAAATAAGCATTGACACATTACAACCATCTAATCCTCAGAACTTCATTCCTTTCGAGTTCAACTGCCCCACTTAATCAGTGACCTCCTGTATTCAGATACACTGTATCCTTTATAGCAAAAGGATACAGTCAATCATACCTTTTCTTTAGATGTCATGTGTCTTTGGTATATACTTAAATCTGGAACAATTCCTCATTTTTCCTTGATTTTTACAACCTTGGCACTTTTGAAGATTACAGGCTAGTTTTTTACAACATTCCTCATTTTGAATTCTGTCTGATATTTTTGTTTTATTGTTTAATTTATTTTATTTGTTAATCCTCTCCCGAGGATATTTTTTTCATTGATTTTTAGAATGGGAGGGAGGGAAAAAGGGAAGGAGAGGGAGAGACAGAGAAAGAAACATCAGTGTGAGAGAGACACCTCAATTGGCTCCCGAACAGCCCCAGCACGATCCCAACCAGGGTTGAAACTGCAACCCAGGCGCGTGCCCTTGACAGGGAATTGAACCTGTATCCCTTGTCCATAGGCCGAAGCTCTTACCGCTGAGCCAAATTGGCCGGGGCATATTTCTTCATCATTAGATTCAGATTTTGCATCTTTGGCAGGAATTTTAAAGAAGTGATGTTTTGTTCTTATTGCATCCTACCATGAGTTCTTAATTTCAATTTTTTTTTTCTGATGCTAATTAGGTCACTGATTAAGTGGTGTCTGCTAGTCTTCTCCATTGTAAAGCTACTCTCTCAATGTTTATAATTAAGTATTTTGTGGAAGATAGTTTCAAATTACTACTTTCTTATCAAACTTTCTTCTTATTTATATCTTTATAGACTCATTATTTTCTACTTTATTCGGTGGGTTAAAATCTATTATTCCCTTTACTTGGATGCTCCAAGTTTTTTTAGGTATGGCTGATGCTCTCAAAAAAGCAGCATCTGGCCTCAGCAAGCCCCATACCTCTCACTAAGTAGCTCCAGGCCCAGCACTAGGAGCACCTAGCCTTGGTTCACAACTTGGCTTTGCCTGGGAATCTCCAAGCCCAGCACAAAAAGAAGCAGCCATTGGCAAACTGCTTTGTAGCTTATGCCTGATGGCCCTGAGTAGAACACAGGCAGTGGCTGACCTTGCCCCAGAGCCAGGACATCCAGTGGACAGTGTCAGACCACGGCAAAGCACCACCACCCAACCACCTCCACAAGGGACACACTCAAGAAATGGACTCAGTAGGTACCAGAGCCTTGCTGAAGTAAGTCTTGCTCTGTGTAGTGGACCCTTACATAACTGGTCATCCAAGGTAGAGGTCAGTGGACAGTGGTCACAGCCAGTCCTTGTAGCTGATCAGACTGAGTAAAACCCTCCCATTGATGTGCCAACAGCAATCAAGACTCAATTACAACAGAAGGGTGTAAAGTTTACACAAAGCGTGCACCTTGAGGGCCCAGCTGGGTGGCCAGGGAGGCTGTGCCACTGGACCCTACAGGACACCTACTATATAATAGGCCACCCTAGGAATCCCAGGAGACATCAGAACCCTACCTAATACATAGAAACAAACAGGGAAGCAGCCAAAATGAGGAGACAAACATGTTTCAAATGAAAGAACAGAACAAAACTCCAGGAAAAGAACTAAACAAAATGGACATAAGCAATCTAACAGATGCAGAGTTCAAAACACTGCTTAGAGGATGCTCAATGAATTTAGTGAGGGCCTCAAGAGCATAAAAAGGAACCAGTCAGAAATGAAGGAGGCACTAACCAAAATAAAGAATAATTTACAGAGATTCAATAGTTAAGTAAAGCCAAGAAGCAAACCATCGGTTTGGAATATAAGAGGCAAAAAGCACCCAATCAGAACAGCAAAAAGAAAAAAGAATCCAAAAACATGAGGATAGTGTAAGGAGCCTCTGGGACAACTTTAAGTGTACCAGCATTCGCATCATGGGGGTGCCAGAAAGAGAAGAGAGAGCAAGAAATTGAAAACCTAATCCCTAACTTGGTGAAGGAAATGGACATACCAGTCCAGGAAGCACAGAGTCCCAAACAAGATGAACCCCCAAGAGGCCCACACCAAGACACACCATAATCAAAATGCAAAAGGTTCGAGACAAAGAATCTTAAAAGCAGCAAGAGAAAAGCATTTAGGTACCTACAAGGGAGCTCCCATTAGACTGTCAGCTGATTTCTCAAAAGAAACTTTGCAGGCCAGAAGGGAGTGTCAGAAAATACTCAGAGTGATGAAAAGCAAGAACCTACAACCAAGATTGCTTTATCTTGCAAAGCTATAATTTAGAATCGATGACCGTATAAAGAGTTTCCCAGACAAGAAAAAGCTAAAGGAATTCATCACCACCAAACCATTATTAAATGAAATGTTGAAGAAACATTTTATCTTTTTCTTCAAGAAGAAAAAGATAAAATATATGAACAATAAAATGGCAATAAATACTTATCTATTGACAATTGAATCTACAAACAAAATGAACAAGCAGAACAGAAACAGACTCCTAGATACAGAGAACATTTTATTGGTTGCCAGATGGAAGGGGGGTTAGGGGAATGGGTGAAAAAGGTGAAGGGATTAAGAAGTACAATTTGGTTGTTAGACTGACAAACTTCAAAGGGAAGGGGGAGGGGAGGTGGGAAGAAATAAACGAAAGAATTTATATGCATGACCAATGAACACAGACAACAGTGTAGGGAAAGGCAGGAGGGGGGCAGGAGCAGGGAGAAGGGGGTAAATAGGGGAAAAAATGAGGAATATCTATAATACATTCAACAATAAAGATCACTTAAAAACAAAAACAAAAAACAGTGATATCTTACCCGCTTGGACCCTAACCCCCACATTGGGCCACTGCAGCCCAGCCACACCTTTTGACAAGATCCCTGTCTTGTGCACATTAGCCAATAACTAGAAATGAAATGATGGGGAAGGGGCTTTCTCTTAATTGGCTTCTTATTTTGACATTTAAGAAATTTTTATAATTTGAATAAACATACAGTAAAATTAACTGTATTTTTGTTTGTAATTTTGTGAATTTTAACATGTAGACATGTTACTCCAAGATTAGGAGATTGAACTGTTCAATCACAAAAATTTCTTCATGCTAGATTTTTCTTTTCAAAAAGTTCATATAAATGGAATCGTAATCTTTTTTAAAATAGGTTTATTGAGATCTAGTTCACATACCATATATTTTGCCCATTTAAAGTTTATAATTCAACCATCACCATGGTTGATTTTCATTTTTATTACCTCTAAAAGAAACCCCATACCTTTTAGCTATCATCCTCCCCACAATTCCTGTCCCAAGCAACCACTAATTTACTTTCCATCTTATAAATTTCCCTGTTCTGGACATTTCATATTTATAAAAGCGTAGTATGTGGTCTTTTGCTTACTGGCTTTTCACTTAGCGTGATGTTTTAGAAGTTTCTCCACGTGTGCAAGTGCTTCATTGTTTTTGTTTTTTTTGTATATATGGCTAAATAATATTCCAGGTGTGACTCTACCACACATTGCTTATCCATTTGTCAGTTGATGGACATCTGGGAGGTTTCCACCTTTTGGCTATTGGCTATTACGAGTAATGTTGTTATAAACATTCAAGTACAAGTTTTTTATGTGCAAGTATTTTCTCATATTTTACCTAGGAGTAGAATTTTATGTTATATGGAAACTTTGTTTAATCGCTTGAGGAACTGCTAGATTGTTCCAATGTGGCTGCACCATGTACATTCCCACCAGCACTGCATGGGAGTTCTAATTTCTCCACATCTTTGTCAACACTTGTTATGTGACTTTTTCATTCTAGACATAGTACTGAATGTGAAGTGCTATCACATTGTGGTTTTGATTTGTTTCCCTAATTATGTTGAGTATCTTTTGTTGTTTACCCTTGTGTATCTTAGGAGAAATAGTTATTCAGATCTTTTGCCCATTTTTAGATGGGTTGTGTTTTTTCATTGTTTTAAGTATTTTTCATGTATTCTGGATGCATATCAGATATATGATTTGCATGTATTCTTGTGTAGGTTTTTTTTACTTTCTTGATGTCTTTTTAAGCATGAATGTCTTTAAGTTTTATATAGTCTAAGTATTCATCATGCTTTTGGTAGATCACACTTTTGGTGTCATGTCTAAGAACTCGGAGTAATCCCAGATTTTAAGGATTTTTTTCCAATGTTTTTTTTCTAAAAGATTTATAATTTTGTTTTACATTTAGATCTGTGACATATTTGAAGTTTTTTTTGTATAAGCTGTGAGATATAGGTGGGGGTTCGTTTTTTTACATATGGATGTTCATTTGTTTCAAAACCATTTGTTGAAAAGACTATCCATTCTCCATTAAATTGTTTTTGCATTTTTGTCAAAAATCAATTGCTATTTATATGGGTTTGTTTTGGGGCTCCATTCTGTTTCCTTGATCTGTCTATCCTGTTGTCAAAACTGTA